GGCGAGGGCATTCAGGGAGGTCCTTAGGGGCGCAGCCGACCTAACTGGTGTCGAGTCTGGCCCATTATGCGCCAAGACAGCAATCCAGTCATAATAAGAACGCCTCGTCTCCTGTAGGTTTCAGCAATAGCGGCAATCAACTCTTGGTGCCCCTTGCATTGCGCTAAGGTCACGTGCGGACGATCCAACCTCGCACCGTATCAGCTGGCTTTCTATGTCGCCCTCCTGGCCCAGCCCCATCAGTAGCACGTCTGAGCCGTCCCAGACCGTCCTTATTTTGGGTGATGAAGCCCACTCTGGCTCATACCACGGCTCTTACGGCCTCATACACGCCCGTTTCACCCACAGACACCGCCCGCACGCACTCGAGAATATTCTTGAGGGAAAAGCCGGCCGGGGCATCTATGTTCTCGAAAATATTCTCGAATATGGAAGTGCGCGGGACCCTCTATTCTCAAAGATATTCGAGAATAACTTGCACAGGCCAAGCGCCAGTCCCGTTCCCAGACCCCAGAGCCCAGTGTCGTGCGAGGGAGTTTGGTTATAAAAATCTTTTGTGAGGACGACGGCTTCCATTAGAATCACGACGCGTCGTGAGCCATTAGAATCACGACGCGTCCCTTACAAGAAGGCTCAATGCACAATGGCTCAAACAACTCAAATGAAGCAAGGCTCCCAGAGGCGACGTGATTTTCACATGCCCGCTCACTCGCCCCCAGGCAGCATGCCCTCACTTCCCCAACGCCCAAGCAGCAGGCTCCAAGCAGCTCGCTACTGACAAACAGCTCGCTACTGACAGTACACAGAGTGTGTGCATGGTGTGCGCGCTCTGGTCGGCAAGTACGACTAGGCGCCACCGCCGCGGCGACGCGATGGGATGGTCCCCTCCCGGATGTACCGGCGGGTCTCCGCCGCGAGATCTGTCGCCTCCGAGCAGAAACGCGCGATCGCCACGTACGGCGCGTGGCAATCCTCAATCGTCTGCAGCTGCTGCGTGCCGCCCTGGCGCCTGGCCATCGTGTCCACGGCGCCCATGAACCCGGACCAGGGCGCCTTGACACGCTCGGCCGTAAACCACCCGACCGCCAAGGCCAAGTTAGCCAAATGAAGTCCGTTGGCCGTGATCGGCATCTCCGCCTGCTCGGCGTACGCGATCGCGTCGGCCACCCGCGACCCGGCCCCCCAGTCTGGAGACCACGTCTTGGTGGACCTGACGACCTCTCCAGCGTGCTCCTCCCGCGGGTCGGTCGGCGTTTGCTTGGCGCGCACGCGGCCCGCCAGCTTGGCGAACAAGCCGGCAAAGGAGAAGACGGGAGCACCTTGCAGCTCGGGCGCAATCCCCGCGGCCCATCGTGCCAGATGGCCGCTGCTCACCTTTTCGCACGGGATCACCGGCACGCCCCGCGCCTCGATGAACCGGAGGATGTCCACCAGGTCCTTTCCGATCCTTGGCCTCGAGCAGAGCGTGCGCCTACAGGCGGATGAGAGAAAATGTGAGAGAACGGGAGGGTGTGTACCGCTCTGCGGTGTGCGAGAGGGAGACGGGCGCCAGAGTGGGTGCGTGCTGCCGGTCGCGAACATGCTCCAAAGCACGTGGGCGAGCATGATGTGCACACGCTGAATAGGCCAGCCGTCCTTCCTCGCCGTTGCAAAGATCTTCTCCTCTACTGATGGGACGAGGGAAAGACGGCAGCGAGTCGTCCCCTCCCCGCTGAGCAAGCGTCGCTTGATTCGCTCCAGGAGGGCGGTCCGTTGCGAGGCAGGCGGCGCGGCGGGAGCCGCGGCCGCCTGCGCGGGAGGCGCGCCCAGCTGGCCGGCGTGCTGCAGTCGCGACGCTGGAGGAGGTGGCGGCATCGATGTGGTGGATTGAATCCGCGCGGAGGGAGCCGCGGCCGCCGGCGACGCGGCGGGAGGCGCGACCGCCGGCGGCATGGCGGGACGCGCCGGCCCCGGTGGAGCGGCGGAAGTCAGCCGCGCGGCAGGACCCGGCCGCATCGCCACGTGAGTCGGGGGCGGAGGGGTGGGCTGCGGCGTGGCTGGGCAAAATAGGTCGAGGATCTCCTGTGGCACCTCGCCATCCTCTCCGACCCGCTGGTAATCGCCTCTGGTCAAGCGCATGGATACGGTTGGTCGTCTCCGAGCGGGAGTAGGCCGAAAAATGCGGCGTGGAGCACAATGAATGGGATGCGAGTTAATGCGCGGTTGGGGGTGCCTGAAAAGGGGAGCTCCCTCTCTCCCCACCCCGAGAACCTCTGCCCAAGCTGATGGTGCCCAGCCTAGGGGGCCTCAGGGGCTGTAGAGCCACACCTAGGAGAGGGGGTAGCTCACACCTTGTGGGCCGCACTGACCCTTCTCCCACGTGCCCTTGCCCGCCCCTCTGACCGCCTCCCGAGAGCCCCGACTTTGAGGGGCTGGTGAGAGCCCCCACCGTTGCGCCCTCACCTCACGCTGACATATCCTTTGGGAATGCCCATGGGCTCTAGGGACCTGCATGACTACCAGACAATGCTAGCCCCCGAGATTTGTGCAGTTGGCTGGGCCTACGCCGAGGGCAAGCTGAGTGACTTTGAGGTGGCGCTTCTGAAGCAGCTGGGCAAGGCATCAAGCGGCGCAATCGGCCGCGAGGGCCACGACAGCCTCGTCACTGCAGTGCTCGGCCTCGTGGCGACAGGCTCCGCGATGGGATGGCGCCAAGCTCCTGCGCGACGAGTGGGTACCCCTAGGGTTCTGAGGGCCGGATTGTTTTAAGACCTTTTAAGAAATGAGGAGGTTTGGGGGCTCAAATTGTTATTTAAGAGATTGCGGGCACGGGGGGTCCCTCTTTTAAGACCGTTTAAGAAAATCGGCCTCAGGCCTCACCAGCACGCGTCGCTGGGTTCCGCGCCGCGGTTTCCTCCAATACTGCCGTTATTAGACACAAACCCGCCACTGAAGACACATCTGTAAGTCCGGTGCACTGGCAGGAGCCATACTCGCATAGGGGACGCGTACCAGCTGACTGTAGCCAGCTTCCCGGCCTCCGGCGTCTACCGGGAGCCTCCCGGACCATCGACCTCGGGAGCTCTCCCGCACCGTTTAAGCGTTTAAGACCGTTCAAGGAATCGGCGGCCCAGCAGCTCTTAAAACCTGCCATGGCAGGTTTTAAGCCGTTTAAGCCGCAGGCGCCCCAGCGCCCACCCTTTTAAGCCTAGGCGCGGGGTACCCTAAGGTCTCCTGACTTACTCGTAAGCCAACCATGTTCGGAGCCTGGATAGGGTGTAGGCCGTTCGGAAGGTGGGTCGGGAGGGAGTCGCCCGCTAGGAATAGTCTTCCCGGACCCCGCCCGCCCGCCCCGCCCTGCCGGCCCGCCCGATAAGATCCCTTCACCTTGATATTGGTGGAGTATAGGTGCGAGGGGCGTGTGGCATGTCTTGCGAGTCTCGCGAGGGGCGCCCACTAACCTCGCTTCGTCGACGCGGCGCTTCGTACACACACACACGCGCCGCAACCGTCGCCGGCGCGCGACACGTTCCCGTCGGCCGGACTGTCCTCGTCGAGTGTGTGTCGCCAGCCAAGGCGGGACGCACTCATGGACGGTGCCAACGGGACGCGGCTCTAAGGGCGACTCCCGCCCGCGGAGGCACGGACTGGCACCCGTGGCGCGGGGCTCGCCTTCGAGAAAAGTCGGGTATGGCTCCGCCCGCAACTCTCTCGCGCTGACACGCGCGCCCCGTCGAGCCTACGGCGGGCGCGCTGCGATCGCACGCCTACCCAAGTCATAGTGCCACGGCATGCGACCTAGAATCAGCACACGCACTTCTGCTCGCGAACACTCATCCAATGAACTAGCGTCAACCATGAGTGCGAGATAGGGCTAGCGGCTGGCCGCTAGCCTGTGAGGAGGGCGTCCATGGACACCTCACACGACCCCACACACGGTCCGTGCCTTGCGCGCTTGCGGCCGGCGAGATTGCTAGAGAGCTAGAGGAAGAGCAGTCTGCTCTAGCCTGACACATTACCCCCTGTCGTGCTGGAGGGGGCGACAGGGAGACTGGCCAGCGCTGTCGGCGGGCGAGTTTGCGGCGCACGCGCTGCGCGTAGGCGGCGCGTGGGCGGGTGCCCCGCCCGGCCGTCGGTGAGCACCAGACGCGAGGGTTGGTCGGCTCTATCTCGCTGTATATAGTCGCGATCTGCCGGCGTGCGTATGAGCTCACTAGCTAGAGCTCACACTGGAGGCCGTCATCGCATTCGCCTTCCTGGGACCCAGCGCTGGCTGTGGTTGCTGTCTTCTCGACAGTCTGTGCGTGTTGCAGGTGTATTCTATTTTTGCTGGCCCGTACGTCATGCTGAAATTCTGCAAAAACCTGGCCGGCCCCTGCGGTGCCCCTACCTACCTACCTACCTACCTACCCTACTTATGGGAAACTAAAAAAGAAATCACGGGATGGGTCAAGGTGGGGTACTATACCAACTAAAGTGATGGCTGGTACTCTCCTGCAACCACAGTCCTTCCGGTGACATGGCAGGCCACTATCAAGCCCTACAAGCACCAGATCACCCACTTGGGGAGGGTTGACGTCGTGATTTTCGCCGAAAATTTCTTTTTTTGAAAATTCCGGCGTGAAGAGAGGGAAAAACCCGAGGGGAGGGCCCAGACCT